CTCATGGCTGGCCAACGTGGTCCTCGCACAGAAGCCGCCCACCTTCCGCATACGCGTGGACTACACCAATTTGAATAAGGCATGCCCAATGGACCCTTTTCCTCTACCAAACATTGATCAATTGGTAGATGAGACAACAGGGTGTGAAATCATGTCTTTCCTCGATGCCTTCCGCGGATATCACCATATTTTCATGCAGGAGAATGACGCCGAAAAAACAGCCTTCATGACTCCCGAAGGCATCTTCTGCTACCTAGTCATGGCCTTCGGCCTTAAGAACTCGGGCGCCACTTATACCCGGATGGTGGCCAGGGTATTTCAAGCCGTCCTAGGATGCACCATGGAGGCCTATGTTGACGACGTGATCATCAAAAGAAAGCGATCAACAAGCCATGCAGACGACCTCCGGGAGATCTTCGCCATCATGCAAAAGTTCAACCTTCGGCTAAACCCGAAGAAATGCACCTTCGGCGTACAAGGAGGCAAGTTCTTAGGCTACATGGTGAGTCGAAGGGGTATCGAAGCCAACCCCGAGAAGATCCAGGCCATCGTCAACATGGAGCCCCCACGCAACATAAAGGAGGTCCAGCGGCTGACGGGCCGCCTGACAGCCCTCAACCGCTTCCTGTTCAAGTCGGCGGAAAAGTCCCTCCCCTTCTTCCAGATCATGAGAAAGACCGTCAACTTTCAATGGACGTCAAAATGCCAGGAGGCCTTCGATGAGCTGAAAAGGTACTTATCTTCACCCCCTGTGCTCTCCAAACCCAAGATGGGGCAGACTCTGTACCTTTACCTTGGCGTTAGCCCTTCTGCCATCAGCTCAGTGCTAATCCGAGAGGAGGATGGCATCCAACACGCCATCTTCTATGTTAGCAAGACCCTCAGGGAGTCGGAACTCAGATATTCTCCTGTGGAGAAGACGGTGCTAGCTATTGTTTGGACTGTCAAAAAGCTAGGCCATTATTTCCAAGCGCACCCTGTCCAGGTCCTCACGCACCAACCCCTCGGCGCTTTGATGAGGAGCCCCACCAGCTCCTCCCGGATGGTAAAATGGGCTATCTTCCTCAGCCAATACAACATTGACATCCGTCCGAGGCCAGCCGTAAAGGACCAAGCCCTGGCGGACTTCGTGACGGAGTGCACGACAAGATCAGCTACAGACGAGGAGCCTTTGGTGCCCTCAGATGAATGGTGGACCCTCTACACCGACGGCTCCTCCGCAGCCAAAGCATGCAGGGGAAGAGTAGTTCTCATTACTCCCGAAGGCTTCCGCGCCTACTATGCCATCCGCTTCTCCTTCAAAGTATCCAACAACGAAGCGGAGTATGAAGCCCTCCTTTGTGGCCTTCGGCTGGCAGTTAACATGAAGGCTAGACAGATCCACGTGAAGTGCGACTCCAAGTTAGTCGTCGGGCAAATATCAGGAGAATATGAGGCCAATGAAGGTAGAATGAAACAATACAGGGAAGCGGCCAAGGGGTTGCTTAAGGTATCTGAGGCACACTCTCTTACTCAAATACCGAGGGCTCAAAACTCCGAGGCCGACATTTTATCGAAGCTCTCAGTTGAGTCCCCAGAACACATCTCGAAGATTGCGAGAATTGAGGAACTCAGCCTCTCAAGCATACACGTCAGCCCCACCATGCAGATACAACAAAGGTTTGAGGACTGGATTTCAGACATCATGAACTTCATCTCCACAGGGCACCTCCGCAAGGATGAAACCCGTGCAAAGCTGGCAAAGCTGAGGGCTCCCAGCTACACCATCGAAGACGGGAGGCTTTACAAATGATCCTACAACGGCACATTGCTCCGATGACTTCATCAAGATGAAGCCGAAGTTGCAATGGAGGAAGTACACAGTGGCACTTGCTCAGCTCACCAGGGACCCTTCTCCATGTCCCGAAGGCTCATAGTCCAGGGTTACTTTCTTCCCACGATGACCCGAGATTGTGCAGACCTTGCTCGAAGGTGTGCCGCCTGCCAACATTTTCAGAAGGCTCTCGGGAGGCCTGCGGTTAACTATGCCCCCATCAACACAGCAATACCCTTCTCCAGGTGGGGAATTGACCTTGTGGGCATGCTGCCGAGGGGTACCTCCAACAACAGGTACATCATCGTCGCCATTGACTACTTCACCAAGTGGGTGGAGGCGGAACCCCTCGCCAGTATTACCGAAGCCAGATGCCGTCATTTTGTCCTTAAAAATATCGTCACAAGGTTTGGCGTCCCCCAACAAATTATCTCCGACAACGGGACTCAGTTTGAGGCAGCCCCCTTCTGTTCTCTCCTGGAGGCATGGGGAATCAAGCATACCTTCTCATTTGTTGCCTACCCTCAAGGCAACGGTCAAGTGGAGAATGCCAACCGGATTCTGCTCGAGGGCCTAAAGGAGAAACTGGAGGCCGAAGGGGGAGGATGGGTTGCAGAGCTCCACAACATCTTGTGGGCCTACCGCACCACCCCTCGATAAGCAACTGGCGAGACACCCTTCTCCTTATGTTACGGTTTCGAAGCCAAAGCTCCCACTAAGGTAACCCTCCTTACCCGAAGGGTGTCCCAATACGATCCCAAAGTCAACGACACCAACATGGCCCTCGACCTTCACCTCATCTCAGAACGCCGGGAGCAAGCTTTCATACGGGCGGAAAACTACCGCAGGTGGGTGAAAGGCTACATCGACGCTAAGGTTCGCTCTCGAAAATTCCAAGTGGGGGATTATGTCCTACGGAGAAAGGAAGCTAGCCAACCAACTGAGGGCGGAAAAATGGCACCAAAATTCGAAGGCCCCTACATCGTTGCAACCATCATCAAACCAGGGACGTACAAGCTCAAACGCCCCAATGGGACCGAGGTCCCTAGACATTGGAATGTGCACCATCTGGTCAAATTCTATCAGTAACGTATGAAAGGCCAAGCCCTCATGATTTATCAATGTATTATCCAACAGCCCAAGGCCTCCTATTTTTCAAGAATAAATGTATGTTGAAGACACCAAGAGTACCAAGTACACAACACACATGAGCGGTCAAGCCCTCATGCAAACTCCTGGCCCAAGGCCTTCCCACAAGACCCCCCAGCACCAAGTGCCGAGGGTGAACGCTCCATCAACTTCAAAGATAAAACACCAAGTGTTTTTGAAAGAGACCCCTCGGTACTAATTGTACGACAAATAAATGCCAAGTATTAAAAATAAAGTCGTACCCCTCGAGGATGCAACTATACCGAAGGCTCTATCTACCGGTGTCATTGGCACCAAGTGCCCCCGGCCATTTGCAACCAACATGCAAATAAAACCCTTCCCTGAAACGCTTTCCGCACCATTACCCCAAGGGAATGGCAGACAACTAAAATGCCTCGGGATTCGACTTTTAAAAACGAAACGCTTCCCGCACCATTACCCCAAGGGAATGGCATGCAACAGACTAGGTCTCGTGCTGAGGGAACGACTTTCAAAACTGAGGCACTTTCCGTGCCATCACCCAAAGGGAGGCAGGCAACAGACTATGTCTCGTGCCGAGGAAACGACCCTCGATCCCCTCAGAACCCGAAAGGTTAATCCCGAGGGGGGAGCCAACGGTGTATACCATTGCCTCCCGAGAGGCCAAGCCTTACCAAGAAACCAAGTTTCTTGAAGCCTTCCCTTCACTATCCAAAAAAAATGGAGTGAGGGGGAGTAGACTCAACGAGCAATTAATGAGTGCAAGTTTCAATACTCCACGACGGAACATCCCTCAGCAGATTGCAAGAAAGGGCACTACGAAGGCAATCCCTATAACACCGAGGGCTCTTAATCCTGAATTTCACTCTTGACGTTGGCATTATTCCGAAGGCTACTACTCACCAAAGTGTTACCAAAATATGGCCAAGTCCACATTCTGCTAGCCCCCGGCATTTCAACATATACCAGAGGCATCAAACGTTGTATATGGAACTTAATTTTCAAAGCCTACATTTTGAAATATAACTCCGGAGGCTCTTGATACGTAGCACCTTCCATCTCAACATGACCCGAAGGCACCTCCCCTCATGTTTCAAGTTGAGATCATCTAATCCTACAGTCCGAAAGGCAAAGCCGAAGGCACCTATTGTACACCTTTCGAGAAGTCAACAGGGATCGAGGGCACCTACTAGAATACAATTGAACTCGAGAATTCCTTAGTCCACACTTTGGAATCCAACATCACCGGAGGCTCCTATGCTAGGAATGGGCCAAGTTTGACTATCACTATTGCATCCTCTGGCCTTATCGAAGGCTGCTGATTGCAAACCCAATACAAAATTCTCTAAGTCCATGATTTAGGGCCCCCCGGTATCACCATCCTTTGCTAAGAAAAACTTTGCCTAAAACGACTACAAGTCGAGGGCATGTTCATGACATCACTCAAAATTTGGCTAAGTACACAACACCAATTCCCCCGGGGGCATATGGCAAAAGCCAACTACTTCATACAGCTGGTGGGATGTGTCAACCGAGGGCTTAGTGGCAAAGCACCACTTGAAAAGTGTCTAAGTCCTAAATCTTAGACCTTCGGTCAGCACATGGCATTCATACGGATTAAAGGGAGACATCTGTCGGGGGCCCAACAGTGACTATTACTTAAGAAAATTTTCTAAGTCCTAAACTATTGGCCCCCGACCACCAACGAAGGAGGGCTTACAACTCACACAACACAGGGCACACGAAAGAAGATGTCAACTGAAGGCCAAGTTGTAAGCAACACTTAGAAAAACTATCTAAGTCCTAAATTTTTGGCCCTCGGTCAACTCATGACAGCTACACAAGTTCAGAACGAAGCATCAACCGAGGGCCTAGTGCTGAACAAACAATTTGGAAAAATTTTCTAAGTCCTAACTAACTAGCCCTCGGTTAATCAATCATGCAGTGAGGGCCAAGTGCTAAACAACACTTCGAAAAATCTTCTAAGTCCTTATTGATTGGCCCTCGGACAATTCACATGCGAACATACATTCATGCATGAAGAAAAAGAAAGCAGACGGAAAAAATGAAGGCATTCATTCAACAGAAGAAAAGAAGAGAGTAACATAGAAGCATCAAATGCCCGAAGACGTGCATACATTCATCAAAACAAAGAGTATGATCAAGGGTGTTTGTTACATCAGCCAAAAGCTACAAAAAGTTTATACATAACATCGTCCAAAAAATTCTTTAAGTACAAATCATTTCGTGGCATCCTCCTCAGCAGCCTTGGAGTTGGCACTACCTTCGGCCTCATCTTCGTCATCGCCGAGGCCACATTCCCTCATAGTTTCAGAGTCCTCGAGCACCAGCCTTTCTTCACCCGGAAGGAGGGGAATCGTGATATCTGGATGCCTAGGGGGAAGGTTGTAGGCTTCAGGCTTGATATCCTCCGGAGACACCTGGAAATGCTGAGCCAGCTTCCGATAAATGAGGCGCTGGGTGAAGAACTCTCCGCCCTGGTAGTAAGAATCACCCTTCGCAGCCAGCCACATTCTACCAGGGCCTTCGACCCAGGAGTCAACCTTCTCCTCCAACACCGAGGACACCCATCCTTCACTGTCCTCTGCTCTCCAGCCCCCGGCGGTGAAAGCCTCCACTGCGGCCTTCTCAGCTTTGGCTACCTCCTCGGCCTTCGCCCTCTCGGCCTCCTTAGCGGCAACCCGGGCGGCTTCAGCAGCAGCCTCCCCAGCCTCGGCCAGGCCTTCATTCTTGCCTTCGTCCCTGGCAGCCTGGACCCTCTGCTCCACACCTTCGTTTGTCAACCGAAGGGTATCCTCAGCCTCGGCCAGCTTTCTTCTGAGGCTGGCTATCTCCTCGTCTCCACCAACCTTGGCTTCCCGCAGCTGACCAACCCTCCGGAGCTGCTCACAAAGTCCCATGAGAGCCTGCAACGATAAAGACATAAAGGGTCAAGCGCATTGCATATGTTGCAACTCCGCAAAAACAAAAAAAACGAAGAAAGGGAAGTAACTTACGGAGGCACTATTCCAGAGGACCTTTTGGTTGAGGGCCTCATCACCCATCCGGGCGAGGGCCAGCCTATCATCCGAAGGCATGACATGGCTGATTAATGCCGAGGGACAAAGGGTGGCATCCAGCACAGAGCTCCCCTTCGGCACGACTACCTCCAACTTCTCCCAGCCGAAGAAGGCCTCATTGTCGTGCCTCCGGGGCGATGGGGGGACAGTAGCATCATCCACAACAACGACGGCATCAGCGGCGGGTTGTTTGCCGGAGTCAACCTTCTGCTTCTTGGCCAGGGGCTCAACCCCCTTATCGCTTTTCTTCTTCTTCACGCCCCCTGGCCCTGGGAGCTCCCGGCCCCAGCACCGGCAGCAGCAACTGTGAAGGGCTCCTCCCTCCCCTTTTGAAAGAGAGTATCAACCGGCTTCTGACCCGAGGGGTCCTTCCTCTTCCCTTTTTGTTTCTTCAGGGCAAAAAGTGAGTTGACATCCATATTGTTACCTGCAAGAACACAAAGCAAAGGGTTAAGCCGAAGGGGATCAACTACAGCGACATGGATAAGCTACGAAAAATATTTCTAAGTACAAAATATATGACCCTTCGGTAATCACCTCGGACACTCTCGAACACACGATCTATCAGGGGATATCTTTCATCTTCCTCCCCCAACAGCCTATAACGCCGGAAGCCCAGATTGGGCAGATCATCCGGGAGCGTGGCTTCCTTGATTGACACATGTTTATCAGAACCTTCCGGCTTTTTGGCAAGCTTCTTGCCATTCTTCTTGAGGGCAGCGCCCCCTACCTTCGGATGCCACCGAAAGATATTGCGAAGCGGGGCCGGAAAGGGGTTCTCCTCGAAGTGGACGTAACAAAACTTATCCTTCCATCCCTTGTGGGACGAAGAGACATCATCAAACAGCCTGAACTTCGGGAGTTGCTGAAGGTTGGCGAAGCCCTCTGCGTTCGAATGCCCCCCCCCCCCCCCCCCCCCCCCCCCGCATAGGTTGAAGGACATAAAAACTGGTCGAGGGTAGGTGGGACCCCTCGGCTCCGGCACGGAGAGAGAAAGCCGGCCACATAAGAGTGGCTATTAGGCGTTAGCTGACAAGGGGCCAACCCCACGAACCTCAGGTACTCCAACAGGAAAGGGTGGAGCAGAAACCGGAGCCCCATCTCCACTGATAAAGTATGGATGGCGAAGCAGCCCTCGGGTGCGTACCGTAACGAATCATCTGGCCTCGGTTCCACCATACGTGCCGAAGGGCCGGCGAGAATTTGAGTGGCCGGACATTCGGCCGGGGATGCCCTCGTCTTCAACTCCAGGGCAGCAATGTTCAAAAAAGAGTGGCCTTCTAGGATACCTACCGGCCGCCCGGCGTCTACGGCTGGTTGCTTCTTCTTCGGTACATCCTTGGCCCTCTTCTTCTTCCCTGGGGCCACCCTGAGAGGCGTCGGGTTTAAAGGCCGAGAGGTGCTGGCTTCACCAGCGTTACGTGCAGGGAGGATGGCAACGGTAACTTGCATCCTTTCCTTCTCCTCCTCTTCTTCGGCAGTCTGCATCGCAATGGCCAACTCCTCGTCTTCTTCTACCTGCTCAAAGTCCTCAGCCTCGGCTTCGGCAGTGAGGTCTTTCTATACTTCCATAGCCAGGACAGCATCATCACACGCCGAAGGCTGCTCACTTGAAGACTCAACGTCTGAATAGCTCTCAGCCTGGACAGACGGCTCCCTCGAGATGTCTTGAGAATCACTTGCCGAAGACATTTTGAATATTAAAGTCGAAGGGTTCAAGGAAACAAAATTTTCTAAGGATCTAAGGCCACAGAAGCTAAATTTACTAATATAGCGAAGAGCGGGTGAAGAACTGACCTCGGAAAGAATGATTTGATCGAAGGCAGATGTTTATCTCTCTAGAAAAATTGCCAGAGCTTCCCTACAACGAGAAATGCGTAAGGGAAAGTGAAGTCACGTCTAGGGTATTTATAGGCCCCCCAATCCGGGCTTGGGCCAAAAATCGGACCCCTGGTCAGAGAATAATCATTGCTGACCGTCGCCCCAGCCAACCGGTGACGCCTGCCCGGGAAAGCCAACAGTAACACGCCACATGGACCCCACCTACAACGGTCATATTCCAACAGTCATATCTGCAACGGCTATATCCCAATGGCTATACTTCAACGGTCACCACGCAGCCTTGCCTTCAGCTGGTATCCTTCGGGCAAAACAACGAACATGCCTCCGAGGTCACACGTTCCAGGTCACCTCATCAAGAAGTGAACCCCCCTCACCAAGGAACACCTTGGGTACTTTTAACACTCAAAATATTGAGAACCAGGGAACCCCTTTGACAACAACTGTGCATGCCTTCGGGCTAACACCTTCAAACCCCTTATCAATGGTTAGCCTCCGGCATAAGATAATGGCACCCCTCGGGAGCCCTCAGCCTCCAACTTATCAAGAACTAGGAACCCCCCCTCTCAGCAACGCAGGAGCTATCACCTATGTCAACACACCCTCAGTCCTCAACGACTAGGGGACCCCCTCGGCATCCCCGTGATATCACCAAGGTGCCCCCGACAAATCAAACAAGCAAGCCCTCAGATCACGGGTAGCCTTCGGCCTCAGACTATACTCAGATCAAGGGTTAACCTTTTCGATTCATCATTGAGGGAACTCGGTGCACTCTTTTTCCCTCATTAGAATTTTTTCCCACAAGGTATTTTCTAATAAGGTTTTTAACGAGGCATCCCCCCAAAGTGAAACGAAAATAGTCAGCCCTCGACCCCATACTGAAGACATGCACTGCTCTACTCCTCTTCACCACATTACATGTGCCTCAAGGAGTGGGGGACTGGAGGACCCATCTGGGAAAAAATCACAAAATGTTAAACTTTCCCCAAAACATCAACATAATCCTTCAAATCCCGAAAATGGGGGACTGAGGGACTGCTCGCGGCAGAACATAGAAAACGCAAGACTCCTCACAAACCACAACAAGGCAGCATCAGAGGATAAACGCATTTACTCCTTTTCCCTCAAGTACCTTTCGGCAAAAGGAGTGACGGACTCCTGATGGAGTATATGACCCAGGGACCCCCGGCACACATACTACCGCTATTGCATTCAGGCCCAATAGGCCCTAAAACGGGCCAAGCCCAGCAGAATGAAGCTCTAAGCAGCCCACAATTCACATATGGGGGTGCCTTCGGCGCCATGGCCGAAGGCTACCGTTTACAGATTCGAGCTCAGAAACATCACAGGAGAACAAGGTTTGAAAACTAAGCCTTCGGCACTTGGAGCCCTCGGTACTAGGACGCCCCTGGTACGGAGAGCCTTCGGCTTGTCGTCTACAGCCGAAGGCATCTTCATCGACAGAATATCCTCCCCACATGCGCCTGAATCACCGTACCAAGTACGACGTCACATCCAACCACCACATTTAATACGGCCACATGCGAGTGCCGGTGCCACCCCGATTGAGGTGACCCTCGGCCATCGGATGCTTGACACGTGTCCATGTCTAGCATTTATTAGTACTATAAATAGCTGCCCCTTTCCCCTTTGTAACAAATAACTTGAATACACATTCTATATTCGAACTCTTTATCTCTCTTACTTGTTTGTTCTGACCTCTATCTAAGTTACTCCCTGCAGTAACCCCTCGGATAAGCTACCCCGGGTACACTATCCATCAACGTGAATAAAGGAATTACCTATATGATCGTGAAGTGTAGCAGCGCTTTAAAAGGCTTAGGACTTGGCTTTTATACGATCATGAATGAGATTAGGACACACGACTTTATAATTGTGTCAAGTTTGCATTCTAGTCGAGTATAGAAACTTGTATGTATTTTATCTTCAGGTATTCAAATGGTTGACGAGTTCAATCCATAGGACACCCTAATTCTCGAATATTTGGAATGTCTAAAATAATAAGATGAAAATTGAATCGTATCGACATTTTCATTTATGTACAAGTTTTGATTTGTAAACTTTGTTACGTCATTTCATGGGTTACACTAAAATGGGGAAGGATTGTTGGTGATTTTAGTGTCACGGACCGTTTTGTGTAATTGAAAATGATATGAGTACCAATGTGAATTAAAACTATCGTGTCATACAAGTTAATAGGTGTGGAGTGCACATTTGTATATAAGGGGGTGTTTGGATCTAATTCTTAAAACTGCTTCTGCTCCTTCAGGGAGCAGAAGCAGAAGTTGGAGTGTTTGGGTGAAAATGCAGAAGTGATTCTGGTGCTCTAATTTACTCCTAGAATCAGTTTTTTTAGAAGCTGGGGGTACCAGCTTCTGAAAACTGATTCTGATTCTGCTTCTACTTTAAAAAAGAAGCAGAAGCAGAATCAGTTTCAAACACCCCCTAAGAACAAGTTTTATCCCAAAATGTATACGGTAGTGGAACTCGATGTAGAACACTCAGTAGACCATCTTTGTGGGTTTAGACCGAAGTATAGAGTGGTTGAGGCAGTTTCGTGCAGTTTTTCAGAAATTTCCACAATTATTCCTAAACTGATTAATATGGAACAGTTAATATGGATATATATCACTGTATTTCGTACATAGAAGATAGATACAAGAGATACAACATATCTTCATCATTTTGGCATTCAAGTTAAAAAAACAATCCATATACTCACTAGTTCATGCTCTAGATCTTGTACCTGAAAATGTTTTTACTTGAAGTGAATTTTTTTGGTCTGGTCTGAACTGGTCTAGTCTCTGTGTATTTTATAATTGTTCAAATCTAGTCTAGGACTGAAAACAGTCCAAGTAAAAACATCCTAAGTTCTTGAGTGTCCTAAAAATTATTCTAGATTGAATTCTTGTAACCCAGACACAGTCACACAAGAGAGAAATATTAAATACAAAAGTGAACTTATACCGTCCTTAAGCAATTCAAGTATCCTATGACGACCCAACAACCACTCCTACGACAACCATCATCGGAGCCCATTCCCCCTGCCCTCCAACAATCTCGACACAGATCCATTTGACATTTCGTCGCAACCCAACCATGCCTCGTAGTCTAATATTGGGAAACAAGATAACTATTGCTACAAAGTGAAACCTGTTTTAGGAGCCACACAACTATGTTCTTAATTTAGTTTTTGGAATGTCTCACAATCAACTATCTCTCTTTTTGGTAAAGTTGTGTGGCAAAGTAACAAATTACTCCAAGAAAAGTACAACATTAATTATAAATTTCACGTATCACACTTTTGAGAATGGCATATTTGGAAATGAATAAAACAAGGCATATTTGGTAGGCACGACATGATAATAAGTAGAAAAAGAACCACAAATCCATACTATAGGCAGTGGATACAGTACTAATCAGAAAATAAGAAGGCACGAATTAATTTACTCTTTCATTGTTGAAGAAGTCATGGATATGATGGTTGACTTCATGGGGTCTCTCCTGGTTGATGAAATGGCCTGCCCCTTCTATCACAACAACCTCTTCCAGCATGGGCACGTCTTTCCTGAAACCGTCCCCGTGCACGTATTCCTTAACCCCTGGGGTGGTATACACCAAATCAACATCTCCAACTATGAACTTCACTGGGACTTTCACTTGTGCCCCTGTCCATGCTGCTGTTAGCTCCCAGTTCCTAACCAAGTCCAATTATTCAGAAAATGCTCTAATTGGATTAATAATTTATAATTACTATTCCCTCTATCCCCAAAAACATTTTAGTTTTCTGTTCCTTGATCAAAATAAATTCATTTTATTCTCTAATTTTGCGCAAATGTAACTTTATGTTCCCTAATATAGAAGATGCTTTAAATAGGATAAAGAGCCCGTTTGGTAGCATTGAAATTGGTTGAATCAGCTGATTTTGCTGAAATTTATGAACTTCTGACTGAAGTGACTGTATTGTCTGATTCTATTGATTTATGAAAAAATTATATTTAAAATTTCGTTTATTAACAAAATAAAGAAAACATTATATGAAAAATAGCTAAAATGATCATCTACATAAACTTCAACCAATACGAACATAAAAGTAACTTCAACCTTACTTTTTCCTATTATGACATAATTCAACGCATGAAATCAAAAGTTACGTGTTTGATGAAAAAGTTGGCTGATAAATCAGATAAGCTGAAAAACAGTGTCACCAAACAAACTCAAAAATTAGTTTTGAAATCTTACTAACACAATTTCAACAATTTTTTCCTGTCTAATATCTAGGCATATAGTTTTGTATTGTTATCTATAGTTTTCTAAGCCAAACGATATCTATTTCTAACAAATATATGTATTTTTTTAAAGATACTCACTTAGAAAAATTATTGGAGATGTACTAAATTTCCAATAATTTAGTTGTCTGTATAGATAAAAAAGTGTTAGTACATATATTTTTGTGTGTCTGTACACAAACATTTTTTTCAGTGCAGCCTAACCCTGACTTTTCACGACATTTTTTCTATGTACACAAGCACTAAACGAAAATCAGTGTTTGTAAGCGTACATTTTTGTCTATGGCAAAATTTTATAAAATGTCACTACTTTTTCAGTTTCTCTTTCATTACAGACAATATATGTAGTACTCCCTCCGTCTCTTATAACTTTGCCAACTTTCCTTTTTTGGTTGTCCCAAAAACTTTGCCACTTTCCCTTTTAATCAATCAATTTGTGGCTCATGTTGTTTCTCTCTCTTCTGCACAAATCTCTACCACACAGTTTTTACTTTATTATTCTACGTGTCAGTCAAACTTGGCAATCCTTTTAGGGACGGAGGGAGTATATCATTATTCAAAAGGACACGGATAATATTTATATACCACACAGATAAAAAAAATTGCTGACTCTAATTTTCCAGTGACTTTCCGATTTTCTCAAACATGAATTTTTTCAGTGCATCGACAAGGTAAATGTGAAGATGATGATGGAAGAAGAGTGTAAAGATGAGGTATATAAATAAAATGTAAAAAGATAGAAACAGAGAAAATAGTAGAAGAAAAAAAGAAAAAAAAAAGGAAAAAAGAAGAAAAAAAGCAAAGGAGATGGAGGAGTGAAAGAAATAATTAGGGGTGTGTACACCAAACATGGCTGAAAAACTTACTAAAAATATCAATGTCAATAGCATGATTGAGATGAAAGTGTATGTACATTTGCTTCACTTAATTAAATCACAAGTGTCACGTATCAATATCTTAAGAAATCATAATAGTTCTAGCACCAAACATTAACGGTCCGTTTGGTAATACCCAAACAGATGTATTTGTTATTCTGTTGAAATTTATGAAATTCTAGCTGAAGTGGCTGAATTGACTGATTTTGCTGATTTATGTAAAAATTATATTTAAAATACATTTTATTAATAAAATAAAGAAAAAGTTATATGACAAAAAGGTAAAATGATTATCTATAGTAACATTAGCTCATACTACCAGAAAAGTAACTTCAACCTTACTTTTTTATTATTATTATATAATTCAGTGCGTGAAATGAAAAATTACGTGTATAGTAAAAAAAGTTGGTTGATAAGCCGAAAAACAAGGTTAACAAACGGGCTCTAACTCTAGAGTTAGGAATTAAGAGCTAAACAAAGTATACTGTGTAATTATTACTCCCTCCGTCCCACTAAGATTGATCCATTTTACTTTTTCAGGAAATCCCACTAAGATTGTCTCATACCAAGATTGGTAAAGCTTTTTTTGTGGCTCTCAACCAATCTTACTTTTTTCTTACTTTAACAATTTAATATGAACCACATAAACACACTTTTCTTAATAATCGTGCAACTTGTCTCGTCCCGATCTTAGTGGGAGGGAGGTAGTACCAGTAGTATACTCCGTATAAAATAACATATTTTAGATATTTCATTTTATTCGGTTGAGTTCAATTTTAGGAGATGAAAACAGAACGGAAACCAAACAATTGTGATTCGATTCGATCTTTTGAGTTTTTGTCAATTCAATTTTCAATTAAACTCATCCACCCTACTCATAATACACATTTCCCATTAAAAGAGATTGATATCACACGAAATGTAGCGAGGAAACTTACAAATTCATAGCGCGATAATAGTTCAATCCCCCAGAAAATCCCTTGGCATCAAATATGGTAGCGTAGTAGTTGAGGTCCTCTTGAGATAACCAGGAGGGCAATTCAGGTTGCGTGACCTCATCAATTTCAAATGGATTTTCTACTGGTATGCAGGGAGGGCCTGTTCTCCGGTCAGTGAATATTTTCCTCAGCACTTTTTCACTTCCATATTTTGCTATTTCAGATTCTATCCTTCCTGGCTCCTATATATGGACCCATCCAAGAACAAATCGAGTATCAAGGAAGGTTTCCATATTAATGCATGCATACAAAAGCAATTCCAAACAATTTAGGTTGTTTTCAAGGTCGTTTTTGGAATGTGACCATGATTAGTATAAGTAAAGTTTAGTGTGTGTAATTTTTCAGTCCATTATTCCGTAAGTAACATATACGGAGTACCATAAAGGATCAAATACAAACATGTCCTAATTTACAAACTAGAAATTCATTCAGGCCCTCTGATGAGTTGATCTAAAAGGCAATAGATGCACGGTGACATTTTGGTTGTAAAACCAATTTCTTTTGTGGTGCATTACTTTGAATGTTACTATGCAACTACTTATTTCATTGTAGAATAATATGCTACACATTGAATGTTATATGCAATACAAATATCACAAAGATGCATCGTACAAGTATTTGCACAACAGGCATTGTTTGACCCTGATCCACCTCCTGCGGAGTATCGAGTACCTACTAAATCATAAAATAATATAAAAATTGAGGTCTATCCAATTTGCTCCAACTATGTTTTGGTCATTCTCATAATTTGACTCAAACACATCTTTTTATGGATGTAATGAATTTCGTGTCACTTTTTAGATATCGTACACGATTACTCATCCAAAAAAAGAGATGGATATTCTCATCATCACCCCAATGCCGCGAAAGCTCCCACCTACGGGGTGGTATAACAGGAAAAAGGAGTTGGATATTTTACAAAATAAAATTTGACAAGATTAATGAAAGGAAAGATCAAAGGTTAAAGTGTTTGACGGATAGTATATCCGGGGATACCGCTGAAGGGTATCTAGAGAGAAGTCAGAACAAGTAAGAGAGAGAGTAGGTGTATATTAAATGAGCTCAAAAGTTCGATCATTTACAATGGGAGAGTGGTTGCTATTTATAGCAACCATAAACTAGGCGCATTTAATGCGAGTACACGTGTCAAGCAATCAATGGTGGAGGGTCAACTCAACCAGGGTGGCGCCGACATAGCATGTGGCACCGCATTTAATGCGGTGGTTGGATGTGACATCGCATTTAATGCGTCGATCTGGAGCGTGCAGGGAGGAGATCTTGTCGGGGTAGTGCCGAAGGCCGTACGTACCCCAGAGGCCTTCATGTGCCGAAGGCCGTACGTAGCCGGGGACCGTCATGTGTTGAAGGCTGTACGTACCCCGGGGCCCTTCATGTGCCGAAGGCCGTACGTAGTCGAGGGACCGTCATGTGCTGAAGGCCGTACGTACCCCGATGGCCTTCATGTGCCAAAGGTCGTACGTCCCCGGGGGACCGTCATGCACCGAAGGTTGTACGTATCGGGGCCTTCATGTGTCGAAGGCCGTATGTACCAGGGGGCCGTCATGTGTTGAAGGATGTAAATGCCTAAGGCTCGTAAATGTAGTCTTGGTTCCCAGTGATGTTTCTGGACGAGGTGTAACTGTTTCCCGAATATGGAGCCTACGGGCATGGGGCTGAAGGCAACACCTTGTTGTAGTATGGGTTTTCCGGAGTCTTGTTTGTTGTGTTTGGGCCACTTGGGCCTGTTCGTAGTAGTGGAAGTATGTGGGTCGGGGGTTCCTGGGCCATATACTCCATCAGGAGTCCCTCACTCCTTTTACCGAGAGCTTTTCGAGGGAAATAGGAGTAATTGTCGTGATCCCGCCGGTGGCTTCCTTACTGTAGCTGAGGAATAATAAGATTTTTTAAATTTTCGTGTTTTGCCAAGGAGAGTCCCCCAGTCCCCCACAGTCTGCGGCCGAGGAGTTTTTGAGAGGAATCGTGGCTGTTCCTCCAATTTTGGTGAAGGTTGGTGTGCTTCTGTTGATGTTCTGAAAAAACGTTTGATACGCGTGATTTTCCCGAGGGGTTCCCCCAGTCCCCCACTTCTTGAGGCACATGTAATGAGGTGAAAAAGAGTAGAGTAATGCATGTCTTCAACATGGGGCCGAGGGTTGACGCCTTTTGATCCACAATGGGGAGATGTCTCGTTAAAAAACCTCATTAGGAAAAACCCTGTGAGAAAAAATCTTAATGAGGAAAAAAGAGTACACTGGATGCCCCCAACATGAAGCAAAAGTGGTGAACCCTTCAGCCTGGATGTGGAGCTGCAGCGGTGTCCGTCTGCTGAGGGGATGGTCGAGATCAGTCTCTAGATATGAGTAGCTCGGCATGATAAGTGGTTCCAATCATCAAATAAAGATGACGGGGCGATGTACGGCCGAGGGGCCTGTATGAGAGCTCCTCGTCATCAAATAAAGATGATGGAGCGATGTACGACCGAGGGGCCTGTGTGAGAGCTTCTTGTCATCAAATAAAGATGAAGCAATCAATTAATCAAGAGCTATGTTACAACCTAAGAGTAAGCACACATGAAGCAATCAATTAATTAAGATTTCTTGTGTTTGATGGTGTATAGAATAGAGTTGAAAACCTATCGAATTGTTCGAACAATCAGATTTACGATTTTCAAAAGTTTGGGTTGATTCTTGAACAACAATTGTTAAATAGTACCAAATAGTAAACTCTATAAATACATGTACTGTGCAGTGAATGAATAAGAAGTTGGTTGACTGAGTTCATTTTCCTCTGTTGAACTTTCTGTTAGTCAGTGAGTCACTCTAACAAATTGGTATCAAAGCAAGGCTCAAGAAATAGGAGAAGAAGAGTTCTCGAATGAAGGGGATTCATGGCGATGAACAATCTAGTTTTGAATCTACCGATTCTAGATGGAAAAAAATGGTGAAGGTGGTCGATTCAGATGAAGGTGATCTTAGGCTATCAAGAAGTCCTTGAAATTGTAGAAGAAGGATATTCATCCATCACCGAAGAATCCACAGAAGCTCAGAAAAACACCTACCAAGAAAACAAGAAGAAGGATTGTAAGGCGATGTTCCCGTTGCATCAGTGCTTAGACAACGCTCATTTTGAGAAGATTGCAAACGCCTCTACTACTCATGATGCATGGAAGATCTTAGAAGAGTGTAATGAAGGTGCAGAGCAATTGAAACGGGTTAGACTTCAAACCTTGAGTAGACAGTATAAATTAATGTGTATGGAAGAAAGCGAAACAGTAGCTGGCTATGTTAATCGCATTATTACTTTGACAAATGAGATGAAAAGTCGTGGAGAAAAGATCACAGAACGAAAGATTGTAGAGAAGGTTTTGAGAACTCTTATTTCAAAATTTGATCATGTATCTGTAGCAATCGATGAAGCGGGGGATCTTACTACTCTAAAATTGGAACAATTGCAAGGCTCTCTTGAAGCCTATGAGCAACGCATGGTAGAAAGAAAGATCGAGAAACCTAGTGATCAAGCTCTTCAAGTTCAATCTACTGAAAGACCTACTTCTAATAGGGGTGGCTTTCGAGGTAGAGGAAGAGGCGGATCTAGTAGAGGAGGATATCCTGGTACAAATTCCTTTATTCAGGATCAAGAACAACCTGAATCCTCTGTCAATAGAGGTGGCTTTAATCAAGCTAGGAGAGGAAGGAAGCGAATTGACAGAAGGAAAATCAGATGCTTCAATTGTAACAAGGTACGACACTTCTCAAATGAATGTAGAGCAGGACCAAGTCAAGAGGAATACTATGATGATGAAAGACAAACTGATGAAGCAAATCTTGCTCAGGGTGATAAGGAGACCGATGAAGAACCTGTAACCTTGATGATGACCACCTTCTTGGAGGATAGTGACTCAAATACTTGGTACCTAGACTCAGGTTGTTCTAATCATATGACTGGCCAAAAAAACTGGCTAGTTAACTTTGATGAATCAAATAAAAGCAAAGTGAGATTTGCAGATGATAGGGTGATCTGTGCTGAAGGTACGGGTGATGTGGTGTTCAGAAGGAAGGATGGAACTGAGGCCATCATCTGTGAGGTCCTATTTGTACCCTGAATGAAGAGCAATCTTCTAAGTATTGGTCAATTGCTAGAAAAAGACTTTACAATCCACATGGAGAAGGGAGTTCTTGAGGCTTATGATTCTCAAAACAAGAGAGTTTTCAAAGTTCCAGTCTCCAGCAACAGGACTTTTCAGGTTCAAATCACATCTCTTGAGACTCAATATCTGGCCACTGAAGTACTGGATAATTCATGGTTATGGCATTATAGATATGGACACTTGAACTTTAGAGATTTGAATAAACTACACAATCAAGGTATGGTTCATGGCTCCCCCATCAAGTTGTCCATAATATTGTGTGATAAGTGTGTAATCAGTAAGCATGCTAGAAGTTCATTTTCTACATATGCTCCTGCTAGGGCTACTGCATTACTCCATGTTGTATTCTCAGATGTTTGTGGACCATTTGAAACTGAATCCTTGGGAGGAAACATATACTTTGTATCTTTTGCTGATGAGTTTAGTAGAAAGAAGTTGGTCTACTTACTTAAGGCTAAAAGTGAAGTTAGTGACATTGTTAAGATCTTTAAAACCTTGTTTGAAAAATAGTCTGGTCACTGCCTTAAGATACTCAGGACTGATGGGGGTGGAGAGTTCTGTTCAAAAGAACTTGAAATGTTTTTCAGGCATAGTGGAATTATTCATGAGATTACAGCCCCATATACTCCTCAACATAATGGAGTTGCTGAAAGGAGGAATAGGACCGTACTCAACATGGTAAGAAGTATGATCAAATGGAAGAATCTACCTCATAACCTCTGGGGAGAAGCTGTGTCAAGTGCCTGAAGAAGTTTGGTCTGGGGAAAAACCATTTGTAACTCACTTTAAGATTTTTGGGTGCTTATGTTACAAACATATCCCTGATCAAACAAGAAAGAAACTGGAAGACAAAAGTGAACCTATGGTGTTTGTAGGTTACAATTCTACTGGGTCCTATAGGCTATATAATCCAAGGTCCAAGAAGATTGAGTATAATAGAGATGCCTATTTGATGAATGAGAATTCTGGAAACAGGAGATCATTCCTACCAACAATTCACAAGCAAGGATGGAGATTGATAGTGAAGGGAACAAT